TGGTCTCCCCTCTCTGCAGCCTGCCCCGCTGGTTTCTTCAAGCCAGACATCTCCAACAGCGCCTGCTCCGCGTGCCCCCCGCACACACTGCCGTCTGCCGTAGGCGCCACCGAGTGCCCCTGTCAGGAGGGCTATTTCCGGGCCGTGGGCGATCCAGTCTCTCTGCCCTGCACACGTAAGTGAGGGGGAGCGCAGGCTGGCTGGCGTCTCCGAGTAGGACAGAACACCCTTTCTGAGGAATGAAATTCTCCCCCCCCGCCCCACCTCTGGGGCCTCTTTAGCCTGCTCCCCCTCATGGAAACCGCAGAGGGACATGCACGGGGGGGGGGAGGCCAGCAGAGGGCTCCAGCCTGGCGAGGAAGAGTGTGGCTCCAGAGGGGGGGGGTTGGGCCCCGCTGCACAGGAGGAGCCCCGCTTGGTGCGGCTGCCCGGCCTTCAAGAGGGCTTTTGTCTCTCCCGCTGGCTCTGCAGGGCCGCCCTCCGCTCCCCGTGGTGTCCGAGCGATCGGTTTGGGTGCCAAGGTGCGGCTGCACTGGTCCCCGCCTCAGGACACCGGAGGCCGCCAGGACATCACCTACCGCGTGACGTGCCAGCAGTGCTGGCCGGAGTCGGGGGAATGCCGGCCCTGCGATGCCTCCGTCCGGTACTCGGAGCCGGTCCAGGCCGTGAGCGGCACCTCCCTCGCCGTCAGCGACCTGGAGCCGCACGTGAACTACACCTTCACGGTGGAGGCCCGAAACGGCGTGTCGTCCTTCAGCACGGAGCGGAGTTTTGCGCTCACCAGCATCAGCGTCAACCAGACGGGTGAGTACAGCCCTGCACACGTACGCACGGACCCCGCCGGCAGGGAGGGCCCGCGTGTTCGCACGCTGTGTGGAGGGGCAGGCACTAGTAATGACGTAGAAGCCTTCCAAATGAGTCCACGCCGTGGCTCTGCACGAGGCGATGTCGGCTGCTTTTCGGGTCAGTCCCTTTCCTAATAATCCCCGGCGTGGAGCTTGCCCTTCCCCCCCCTGCTGCACTCCCGAGTCCACTTTTCCGCCGAGCCTGCCACGGCCGGCCCAAGGCCTGGTTCGGTCTTGGTCTCAGTCAGCTCACAGCCTGTTCAGAACCCGAACCCATCCCCGCCTGTCTCTCGTGGCATCCCCTTCCGCTGGTGTCCCCCAGAGGCCCTTGAGCAGCAGCTGGGAGAAGGGGGGCTGGGGGGGGCGACGTGCCCGGCCAAGCGGGGAGGAGATGGTTCGGGGGGGTGGGGGGAGGCGGGCTGAGCTGCGGCCCCCCCTGTTGTGGCCAGGCTGGCCGGACACTGGCCAGAGCAAAGCGGGGGTGCCGTCCAGAGCCCCTGGCCCTGGCTCACCCGCCTCCTCCTCCTCCTCTCTGCCCCTCTGCTCAGAACCCCCCCGAGTGACCTCTGTCACCCTGGATAGCCGCACGGCCACCAGCCTGAGCCTGTCGTGGAGCGTCCCTCCCCGGCAGCAGAGACACGTCTTGAAGTACGAGGTCACGTACAGGAAGAAGGTAACTCCTCTGCCTGCCTGCCTGCCTGCCTGCCTGCCTGCCAGCCAGCCAGCCGGGCCTTTCCCTTTGGAGGAGGGCTCTTTTGCTGGGGAGGGGCTCCTCTGATCCCCCTGCCAATGGGGGGACGGTTTGTTCCTTTTGCAGGAGGATGAAAGCAGTTATTCGGTGGTTCGGTGTGAAGGCAGCTCCGTGACCCTGCCGAAGCTGACCCCGAGCACCAAGTACCTGGTGCAAGTTCAGGCTTTGACCCAGGAGGGACACGGGCCCTACAGCAAGGACCACGAGTTCGAGACACTTGATGAAGGTGAGTTCTCCTCTGCATGCTGCGGGGGAGAGGAGGGTCCTGGCAGGCGGGTGCTGTTTCCTGACCCCCCCACCCCCTTCCTCCTTTCTTCTGCAGGCGCCGATGGCACAAACTCTGCCGCCGTTCTCGGGGGCTCCATTGCTGGCCTCGCCTTCACGGCTTTTGTGGTGCTGGCCATCGCCCTGCTCGTTCGCCGGAGGTAGGTGTTCCCCGGCCGAGCAGGCCTTAAACGGGTCCCTCGGGCTTGGCTCCTCCAGGGGGCACCCATGGCATCGTCGTCTTGGTGCTGCTGGGCAACCTAGGCCCTGCAGGCTCTCGCAAGGAGGCCGGATCCCGGCTCTCAGAGGTGGCCTTCAGCTGCTGGGCCCTGGCTGTGCTCAGAGCTCTTGTTGCGGCTCTCAGGCGGAGTAGTGGGGGCGGGCGGG